TTCCGGCTTTTTTCTTTTTGCTTATGTGGTGCTGAGGAATGGAACCCAGGGCCTCATGCATGCAAGGCAAGCGCTCTACCACTGAGCCACCTTCCCGGCCCCATATAGTTCATTTTCAACGTAGTGTTTAGTATCACTGCTGCATTTGTTCACCCATTGGCCTTTCATTTCTGTGCCCCCTCTCCCAAAGACAGGTAAATGAACAAACTAGACAAAAAGAAAATAAAAAGACGACAACAACAAATAAAAAAATAAAAACACCTCGTTTCCATTTCCTGGAGTTCAAGAACTATTACTGTATAGATCTGAAGCACATAGGCATTGGGCCTGCATGTCCCCTCCTAAGAGTATCCTCCTTTGTCTCATTGTGTGGGAATGTCTAGAGTCCTGTATAATTTATCTTGTCCCAGTGTACTTAGATCTAGCTTCTGCATATGAGAGAAAACATGTGCTATTTGTCTCTCTGAGCTTGGCTTACTTAACATGCTTTGTTATAGGTCCATCCATTTCCCAGCAAATGACATGATAAAAATTGCATTATGTATATGGGTATCCCATTTTTTGGATCTGTTAATCTATTTTAGGGCATCTGGGCTGTTCCCATAACTTGGCCATTATGAACAGTGCAGCAATTAAGATGTATATGCAGATGTCTTTATGGTATCCTGGCTTGTCCTTCTGGGTAGATGCCAGGAGTGGTTTCCTGGGTCATAGGAAAAAGTCTATTTAGTTTTTGTTTTTGTTTTGAGGAACCGTCAGACTGCTGTTCAGAGCAATTGTAATGGTTTACATTTTCACCAACATTGTAACAGGTTCCTTTTCCCCCACATCCCCACCAACCCGTGTTCCAATTCACAACATTGGCCAATGAGGTGAGATGGAATGAGTTGTTTTGACTTGATTTGCATTTCCTGTATGGCCAGGGATGTGGAGCATTTCCTCCTATGTTTCTTTCCTATTATCTCTTCTTCTAAGTCTCTCCTTAGCTCCTTTGCCCATTTCGTGATTGGCTTATTAGCTTTGGGAGGGGTTAGTTTTTTGAGCTCCTAACATCCTTTTGGATGTTAGGCCTTTGTGGGATGTATGGCAGGTCTAGATCTCCCAATCTGTTGGCTTTCTAGTTTAGTAACTAAGTTCTTTGATGTGCAAACCCTTTTTATTTTGATGTAATGTAATCCCATTTGTCAAGTCTTACTCCTATCTGTTGTGCCCTTGGGAATCTTTTCAAAAGGTTTCTGCCTGGGCCTGAGAGTTCTAGTGTTTCTCCACTCCCTCCTGCAGCAATTTCAGTTTCAGGTCTGATGTTGAGTTCTTCAATTCTCTTTGAGTTGATGAACAGGGATCCACTTTTAGTTTTCTGCATATGGATGCTCAATTTTTCCAACACCAATTATTGAAGAGGCTTTTTTTCCACCAAGTACCTTTTGGCTCCCTTATCAAATATCTGTAAGTATACAGAAGACCAGCAATCCTGTGTGTGTGTGTGTGTGTGTGTGTTGGTCATGGGGCCTGGACACTGTCAGAAGACCAGCAATCGTGTGTGTGTGTGTGTGTGTGTGTGTGTGTTGGTCATGGGGCCTGGGCACTGTCCCTCAGCTCTTCAGCTCAAGGCTAGCGCTCTACCACTTGAGCCACAGCACCACTCCTGGATTTCTGGTTGTTTATTGGAGATAAGAGTCTCATGGACTTTCCTGCCAGGGTTGGCTTTGAACTGTGATCCTCAGATCTCAGCCTCCTGAGGTGTGAGCCACCAGCACCTGCAAACCCTGCAATCTTAGTCTACCTCTTTGTACTTTTATTTTCCAAAGTCTCACTTCATGGCTGGGGCTGTTGTTTATGCTTCTTAGAGCTGGGATGGCAGTGGTCCACCCACTGCATCCTCCTTCTTATGGGTTGAGACCTAGTCTCAAACCACAATTCTCTAAATCTTTGAACAGTATCTCTTCATGTCCAGCAAGCAAAAAGGCTTGTGTGTACTGTAATTCTACTTCACTACCTATTGCTGTCATTGCTCAAATCTTCCTTTGGGTTTGAACTTTA